TAAGGTATTGGATAAAGATAGCAAGATGTTCAGTGAGTGAGTGGGAGAGAGAGAGAGAGAGAGAGAGAGAGAGAGAGAGAGAGAGAGAGAGGGAGAGAGAGAGAGTGGGAGAGAGAGAGAGAGAGTGTGAGAGAGAGAGAGAGAGAGAGTGTGTGTGTGAGAGAGAGAGAGGGACGTCGTCGACGACGACAGCGACGTGAATAGTCTGTGGAAGAGACGCTATACGGAAGGTTTAAGGATCGTGGGGCCGCAGTCGAAACTCTGGCGTCAAAGAGCGTGGAGGTGTGCCAGTGTAAAATTTGTCTGCTTCGTAGGTAAAGACGAGGACCGGTCGGTGCGCTCTCTCCAGTTAGTAAACACCAATTTTAACTCTTATTATTAATCTCTTTTCCTCTTTCTCTCTCTTTCTATCTCCTTCTATCTCTTACTCTCTCGCTATCTTATAGAGCTAATCTTACTCTCGCGCGACAATTCTCATTTATCATTCGGATTGAATTGTGCCAACGCACCCGCGCAATTTTCAATTCATATTTATTACATTTAGATGAACGCATGTTCTTATCAATCGGATTACGTTTAAGTGATTTGTATTCTTGCTTGTATTGTGATGCAATTTTTCAAGATATAAAACGTATAAGTAGAACGAAACATTAACTTAAAGATGCAGTCTATAATAGAATTCTCAAAAAGTTATATTAAATTGTTGTTGACAAAATCTTGCGATTAAAGTAAATAGTCTGAAATACTTGAAATTCTTATACGATCGCCATTTATTCTTCTTCTTCTACTTCTTCTTCTTCTTAATATTATTATTATTATTATTTTACTTTCCAAACATTAAATGCATAAAATGATAAAATATATAATAAATATCCATGCTGCGGAAAATTTAAAAATAAAATGAAATTTAATATATACTTTTTTTTTCAAATTTCTATGTACTTTCAGGATGATATTACGTTAATTACTTGTACATGTTATATTGATTGATCAAACTATTTTTTTTTTTTTTAATACATAGGAAATTAAAATCAACAAACGAAAATCTTATGCATTTCTAATAATTCCTGAAATAATAATTAAATTTCTTCTTATTCATTCTCTTTATTAATATAATTAATCAGACAAAATTAATAGTTAAAATAAATTTAATCATAATATGATTTCCTTAACATTTAAATAATACCTATTATTAATATAACAATGTTAGAGTATTATCATGGTATAAATAGTTATTGTCAAATTTGCTTATGTTTGAGGAACTGAACATCGTTTCTTCCATACAAAGTAGAAATATTCTTCATTATTTTGAATAGAAAAGTACATCTTGTTATTAAAAAAGGTTTTAGCAAAAATTATAATAATACAATTTTCATTAATCATCAATACTTATATGCAATAATACATTTTTCTTTTATATATGCAAATTTGTTTTAAAAAAGAATCTTTGAAATAAAAATTTTATACTAATATGAATAAACTTTCGTAATAAACTTTATGCCGCAACCAAAATATAAATTCTTATTTTAATTATCCATAAAAGACTAAATTAATAACACTTTTATAAAGATCATCGTGAATATAACTGAATCATGCAAATCATATAAAATATGACAAATGTAAGTCTATGGGATGTGCATTGACCCATTCAAAAACGGAGCAAAGGAATGAAATGCTGAATATGTAATATATAATTATTAACTTTAATATCTGTGAAGAGTTCAAAGAAAGAAAATTACTTGCCTACATTAATAATGAAACACGAACAAAATAACATCGAGAAAAATCATCTTTGAGATAAATTTAAGTTTGATTCTATAATTAATATAAATACACCTATTATTAATTTTTATCAACCCCATATTATCTCTATTAAAATTATCATGCGATCTGAGCAATAATTTTATGATTTATTTATATTAAGATCTCGTATAAAGCCATAAATTGCCGTAGATATACAAAGTCTCCAACTATTATATCTTGGATTTCTTTGACAATACACGGACATTCTAGTTTTTCAATACAATACAATGTTTTGACATTCATAGATTTTTAATGACTCCAAATAAATAATGGCTTTGAATGAAAATATATGATCGTTCAGAATTACGGTAGTAATAATAATAAAATATGAGAGTGAACGGCATTTTATAAATTCGTTAACATGTCCCATAAGATACGAATAGTGTCCTTATCGAGCGTTGATTTTTATGAAAACTGACTCTGCTACAAATGTTAATACGGATGAAAAATTATATATGAGCGTGTATTACACAAATATACATGAATACCAACTGAAATACAAACATAATAAAGATTTTTTGTCTTTTGGCAATGCTTATCGTATTTATAGAGTCATAAAGATAAAGTTTTTAACTATGTTATGAAATATGAAATATAACGTTTTTAACTATGTTATGAAATAAATAAAAAAAAATATTAATGTGCTTGTGATAATTACAAATAGAAATTGGGGAACAAATTTAAGCTTATCATGTGACGTAGAAATTTAGATTTGACTATTTCTTTTTGAGTTTTGTAATTTTTCAACCTTTAATAGTTTATAAAATATAATATAACAATACGCTACTTATACATAATATTAATAATAATTTAATCAGCACAATCTCTATCTATGTAACATATTTTTCGCAAATAAATAATGAGCTTTATTAAGCAGGTAAGAATATTTTTTGAGAAAGTTTGGAATAATTTCATGTAGAAAGGTCCGATATTATCATAAAGATATTTATGAATACGAATTGCCGAGAATGAGAACCGCAATTCGTATGAGCATAATACATAAATAAAACCCATAAATTATCCTTCGCTATCCCCCGTTACAATCGTACACCATACATCTACGCATTCTCATGTTTTTAAACCAATAGAAATATATAATATATTTTATCGAAATGAGAGGCTGAAATATTGTTTATCAACATAAAGCAAAGAGATAAATTTTTGAAAAGAATGAAAACATTCGAAAACTTGGGTATCTCGAATCTTTTTAAGACATACCAAGACCCTAAGCGATACAAAGAACAAGAAGCCGCGGATACCGGCAAGTTAGTCCAACTTAGTCTGGGCAATTGTCCAATTTTGGCTTTGGACCCGACACCTGCGACTTGCACACTACAAACAAAACAGACTATATGCGGATGTACATTCGACACATTCTTCGTCGTGACTATGACGCGACAGGAAGCGATTAGCAAGAATTTCAATCGCTCGAGACCCGGATTCGCGCTGTGTGCATGTACATATATTTACAAACGTATATGTTTTAGCGAGGAGAATAATTGTAGTCAGCGATGCACCATGAAAAGCCCTTGTAAGCTTGCAAGAATAAGAGATGTACGTATAGCGAATGAAATTGAGGCCTGACATCAAAACTTAAATATGTCATTTGTTATGATTTCGTATTGCGCATTATGTATGCGTATCCGAGTATTTAATAAATAAATAAAAAAAAAAATGTATTATAAATCTTGTATGCTTACTTAAATTTATAGTTTAGTGTATGTAAAAGGAGAGTTTTAATTTCAGTGGTATAAGACAGTAATTTCAATAAAATTATGTTATAAAGCAGTAGCAATTATTAATATGATTAAACAGTTGATTGATTCAATTATACATTGACGGCTGTATAAATATCTATTTTTAATATATTTTAATATACCCTATGTAATAATTTATATTTTAATATAAAAAAAAATGTATTATGATAACAATGTTGTTGTAATAGGGCTATTTTATTCTTATCTTATATTTTCCAAATTTTTGTTGTAATTAGTATTGGAAAGATATTGTTTAGTACTATGCGGAATAGCCTCTCGTATTCTCGTTGAATTACAATCGATTTATTAATAATCGTTTATATCAACATAATTATTATAATAGTAGTTTTTCAGCTTAAATGTTATTAGGAGCTTTAACATGTTAAGCAAAATTATTACAACAGAAAATATTGCGCAGCTATTACGCGAGATATATTTCATATTGATTACAAATGTTTTTATTTCACATTGATTTTCTCATTACATTGGCACATTGTAACTTATCGATTACATTAAAAGTTTCAAAATAACATATTATAGTTTATACATTTAGTGCCTTGTATATTGAATAATAAATTAATTAAAATTTTTAACGTTGTATACACGTGCCTAAATGTATGATTTTCTAATTTTCATTTTAGAAATAAATCTTAATCAATATCATTAAATAAAAAATTATTCTTTGTTTGACTGGATTTTTGTAATCGGTAATATGCATAACAAAGAGTTTTTAATGCAAATTTACAAAAAATATTGATTCAAGTTTTAACTTAACGGTGCTTTTTCACGTACTCGGCTAATGAAAAAATTCATCATCTACATGAATATATTCAATAGTCTGTGTACATTAATATTACGATAAAAATCATAATACTTTAAATTGACTTTTATTTAAAACATAAAGTTTTTATTTTATGTTATATGTTTTTTTTTTTTTATATGTTATAAGTTTTTATTTTATGTTTATGTAACTAAGTACATTATTCTTATAAATTTAAATTAATATATATTTATAAAGGTTAATATTTTAATGCAATTTATAAGCGATAGTTGATGTTGAATAGAATATAATATGCTTTATAACATTAATTGTTTTGTAAACGATACTATTTATATAATAATTTCTTTAAGATGCAAACTATCGTTGAAGTATAAATAATAATTTTGAATATTGATGTTGAAGATAATTTTGTATCATTAAAAAATTGTGTAACAATAAAATATTATTAATTGTCAACATTTTGAAGAATATATCATTTATAAATTAGAAAATAAAGTAAAATTGTAGCTATAGAAAATAAAATAGAATTCGGATTATTGTAAATTAAATATTGTATATTATAGGTTTTGTGTATATAATTTTTCATCTTATAGATGAAATGCATCTACATCTATACATAAAAATAAACTATAAATAAATTAAAATGATAGAATAATTTTTTAATTTCAAATGATTGTAAGTTATTGTGAAATGTATTTAATATTTTATCATTTACTATTCTCGTAAAAGAAGATTTTTATTTACTATAGAACGATTAGAGCCTAAATGCTGAAATGCTGAATATTTGAAATTATTATGAAAAAATAATTATTATTATTTAAATAATGTATTAAAATAATAAAAAAAAAAATAATCATAATAACAACAACAACAAATATACTCCAATAAAAATTAACCTATACATTCTTTTAGTTATATAAAATGTTCTTATACCGTGTTGTATGTATACTGTTGTATGTATACTGTTGTATGTATGTAAAATAAATGGCGATTTTTCAATGAATTGTCGGAAGTAATTTATTTTACAAAACTGTTGTAATTAATATCTGGTTTTCTTTACAGATTAATTGCTTTATGATTTCTTATTCTTCATTTATCTACTTATCTTCCACTTATTCGTTACATCTCTCTTTCTCACGCACGTAATTCGCACATTATAATATGTCCTTCCAAAATTTTCACTCTCTTTTTACATGAATTAATGTCGTATGCTCGATTTTTGCACAGCCCTTAGTTAATCTTAACGATCAAAACACACGTGTTTATATAATATATTGCTTATTTAATAGTCAAAGATAGGAAATGAAAAAGAGGGAAGAAAAATATAGAAAAGAGCATTACTAAAACCGGAAAATATAAAAGTATAGAGGACGGGATAGTAATTTTGAATGATTGCGTGCTGAAGGAACGCAATGAATTGTTGCCGATAAGCCAAATTAATAGAACAATCTTTCCTTTTTAATTCTCTTTATTTTTTTACTGAGCCTTATGCGCATTATTTTATAAATTACACAAGGATTTTATTAGCTCGGCTATCCAACTCACGGTCACCAATCAGCCTTTCCGAAGCTTTCACTTTGTATTTTCTTAATAATTTATTACATGTTTCTTTATACAAGCGTTTTTACTTTTTAGAATTTTACAGTTATAGAACTGTCATTAGTAAATCTATATGTATTCACGATAATTTTTGCAAAATTGATTATGTTTTTAAAATTCTATGTGATACATTTGTATTGTGCATATATATATATATATATATATATATATATATATTATATATAATGATTATGAAAACTCATAAAAATTTATATAGACAATATTTAAATAAGTTAATATTGCCATAAATTTATTACAATAATTATTTTCGACTAATTACAAATTTTTAATTATAGGATATTTTTAATAACGGAAACATTAAAATATCGATTAATCAAACGATAACATTAACACTATAATAGTATTGAATAATTTTTCTAACTAAACGAATACAAAGTAGAGTGAAAAATGTCACAGTAATTAAATTATATTTGTTTATGTTGATATTGCCAGTACGTACTTTATTTCACTGTCATCGAGTCTTTAACAATTGATAATAAATAATCATTAACATATATGTTTGTATTTGCGTCAATCACTCTCATCTTAAAAAGATTCATTTTCGTAAAAATAAATTTATATTGTAAAATATTCTTTTACATAATTGTGAAAATGAAAATCTCGATTGAAGTTGCATTGTTTTATTATGTGTCAATGTCATAATAATTAGATACTAAATTTACAGGTCGGTTTTTTTAATAGAATAATTTTTATTTTTATATTTTAATTTATGAAAGTGTTATAAAATTGTTCTTTGCGACTTCATATTTTATTGTCTAATTTTATAAAAACATAGTATAAATTTTTTATCAATTTTTTTAATCATAAATAAATGTTTCAAATTTAAATATTATTTTGATGTCAGCATATCTAATTCGTTTCATACAGATTTTAATTTATTATGTATAGCAGATAAATTTATTATCGTTTAATGATGATAAATCATAACAATTTTTTAATATACTATTTAATGTAAGCTATCGTAAAATAGAAAAAAAAATATCAATATTTATATAAAAATCTATTGTTTTTTATGCAATAATAATCACTTAATCGAGACATTTATCTATATTGTGTCGTAAGTCTATAAATTATAAAAAATTTTTAAACTGAAATATTAAAATATATGTCCATTGATGGCTGTACATAGTCTTCTATATAATTCTGTGTTCATGTGGTATGCACTACCACATTAAAATTTATTATTTTTTCGAATATAAATAGACTAATGATAGTCTTGTCAGTCTATGTTGATATTAATTCGACAAGTAATTTAATTCATTTTTTTATGTATTATTATTATTTATATATAATATAAACCTGATTAAAGTTTGAAATAATTTTTAATTTACATTTATGTAGTTTTTTTCTTCCGTTTATGTAGAAAATATTATAAGAAAATATTAAATAACAAATACAAGTAGCTAAGAAGGAGGGATGAGCATTTTCATTGCTTATAATTATATGTAAAATTTTATAAATTTCAACTTGTTAACGAGTTCTAGGTGTGGTGATAATTTGTAATTATTATGCACAAAGCCATTTAAACGAGACTCATTATAATTATAGGAATATTTAAAAAAAAAATCTTAGCACTGTCAAATCCAATGCACATATTCTCAGATTTATAATATTATTTATCCATTCACCTATAAATTACTGAATTCAATGAAATCAAATGGTATTAGCGTTCCCTAAATTCATCTCCGATTTCCAAACTCAAAGATATAATCGGAGCAAAGCTATATCATCCTCAATAATTCCATACTCTACTGTTAAATGTAATTAATTAGCTGTAACATAGCTCATTAAGTTGCACCTAATAATCGTTCGAGGCTAATAAATCGATATAATAAGATTATTAATTAGGTAAGGTGCAGCTTGTCAATGTCGTAGTTCTCGGCTAATACCAAAGGGTCTTAAAATTTCCACGAGCACAACTCTTGCGTATGCTCCGTTTATAATACAGCGATGATTTAACGTAAGTCCGTTCGCAGATTAGCTGACGAGAGCATGAAAATCGTTGGCAGCCATGGGTATGGACGACCGCACGACGACCTTTGGCCGCAAGCGCAGCTGCACCATAACGCGCTGCGGAGCATTTGCACTGGTGCTCACCTTCGTCGGGAGCATCGTGATCACGGGCCTACTCGTCTGTCACTTCGCGCCATGTGTCGACGGTAAAATAAGCCAGCACCGGGACATCCTCGACTGGGAGGAGTCCTCGATGTTCAGGGCCGGGCGCAGTTTCCGAAGATCGCGCGCCAACAAAATCAACGTGAGGCTGCCACGGTCCATCGTACCCAAGAGCTACGACGTCAACCTCGTGCCTTTCATCTGGGAAGGCAACTTCACTTTCAATGGCGAGGTAGCGTACAATTATTTTCTTTACTATTATTAGCTCCTACCTTTACATACGGCTCGTCGTGTGTGCTATTTTCACGGATTTGCAAGCTGGCTCTGGCTAATTGACCAATGACTTTTGCAAAATCGCGTTCTACCTAGGGATAAGCGCGTTCGCAATAGCAGCGCGAGGTAAATTTTGTTGATATCTCGAAGAACGTTAGTGAACGATTTAATATGCTTTTACTTTAATGTCTTTAAATTTCCAAATATATAGGATAAGACAAACTCTAATAATCAATGAATATGCGTGCAAATAATAATTTTACAACTTGTATAGGTGAAAATTGTCGTAAGCGTCGTACAAGATACAACGAATGTGACGTTGCACGCTTTCGACATGGACATCAATTCTAAATACACCAGCGTGTCGGAATATCCTGCCGCATCTAAAAGTAATAAAGTGATAAAAATAAATCAGCAATTTAATGACACAATTCGGCAATTCTATATCATAAAGTTGGCAAAAACGCTCAAAGCTGGAAAGCAGTACTTAATTTATTTGAAGTACATTGGCCGACTGAATGATTATCTTCAAGGCTTTTACAGAAGTTCGTACATCGTTAACAATGAGACAAGGTTCGTTGATTTTAACGAATTATTCATTACATTTTTATTACAGTTTATTTATGGCTTTTATTTCCCTTAATCGAATTAACAATCTCAATAGAAGGATAAAAATAAATAAAAGAATAATTAATTTATATGAATTTAAATGAATTAGAATGAATAATAAAATTAATAGATGAGCGTTAATAAAACACACGTCAAAAATAATTATTTTGTTATATAATGTACATTGTTTACTATCTCATTGTTTATTAAGATAATTGAAATAAACGTGATAAATTATTCTTTCAACGATGCTCAGACACGCCGAATGATTCATAAAAATCATCGTAACAATATATTCTGATTCAATTAAGGTTTATTCCAAGAGCCTACCGTATACAAATGATTTTTAATTGGCATTGTACGCGTATTATTATTATAACAAGGTACATTAAAAAATTCTTATGAACTGTAGTACTTACTATAAATATTATATGACTTGGTATCAGGATTAAAGCCAAGCATAGTCCGATATGACTTAGTGCCAGAATGATTAATTTCCTATTAATTAAAATAGAATTTCAGCGTGCATCTTAAGTTCATATTGTTTTCTCACTTGCTCAGGTGGATCGCCACAACGCAATTCCAACCCACCGATGCGCGTCGAGCTTTTCCGTGCTTCGACGAACCGGCATTTAAAGCTACATTCCAAATTAACATTGCTCGACCAACCAATATGACTTCTGTCTCAAATATGCCGAGGGAACGGGAATCTCAGCCAGTGTGAGTGCATTCGATATTAATCAATCGTTGTTCGACAAATGCCGAAATTGCCTCTCCCAAGGTTTTTCCATTATTTTCTTTATTAGGTCAGCATGGAAAAAAAAAATGGAGTGAAGATATTCGTAACGTAGGCAGTCTGAACAATTGATTAAATAATAATTGTGTTGGAATATCTTGAAATTATGGTAGTTTCGAATTACGTGAGTTTAGTCGAGGAATCAAACGAATAAATCTTAATTTTTGTGAACTTTTTTTATGAACGTCCTGTATATAAATTTTCATTGATAAGGCTTGATTGTCGGAAAACAAACTTCTATATACCTTATATAACTTTTATTTGAAATTAAACTTATGGTAGTTTATATAAAACGACTTTCAAATTTATATTCACATTTTATTTAATAATTTCTATATACAATTGTGAATATATACGTTGAATTAAAGTTTTATTAAAATTTTTATTAATATTAAAATTAAAATATTATTGTACTGAGTTGGAATATATTTACGAAAACAAACTATAAATTACCATCAAAATAAATTTTATATATATATATATATACACACTCGTATATTTATTAAGGAAATTATTTGGTTTATTATAGAGAAGGAATGCCTACATATGTGTGGGATCATTTTCAACGTTCGGTACCGATGTCTACGTATTTGGTCGCGTTCATGGTCGCCGATTTCGAGGCTCGGCACTCCGAGTCCCGCAATGTTAGTGTTTGGGCTCGAAAAGATGCTTTAGAACAGTCGGATTACAGTCTTCAAATTGGCCCGAAGATTCTTGATTACTACGAGAATTATTTCCAGATCAAATTTCCATTACCAAAGATTGATATGGTTGCCCTTCCGGATTTCTCCGCTGGGGCTATGGAAAACTGGGGATTGATTACTTACAGGTACATTATATATGGCTCCATTGCCTCCGTACAATACATCTACCTTACATATTTTTTTCTTTTAAGTTTCGAAATTCGTGTTTTATATCTTTCATAAATATCGATATTTTCACAAACAAAGCATTTACTCTATTAAATTTGAAAGATTTATAAATTTTATATAATTGAGAAAATTCTCTCATCACTTAAGTGCATTTTATAGAAAATACTTTGAATCTTCATTGAAAATAATAAAGTAAAAAATTAATGTATATTATTTGTGATTTTGTAACTGCTTGTCGCACATTTCTAACGCGTATATTTATTGCAATTATAGAGAAACTGCTCTGCTATATCAAGACGGAGTATCCGCAAACGGCAATAAACAAAGAGTTGCAGCAGTAGTTGCTCATGAACTTGCACATCAATGGTTCGGTAATTTGGTAACTCCAAGTTGGTGGACAGATCTATGGCTTAACGAGGGTTTCGCTAGTTACGTCGAAAATATCGGAATTGACGCAGTAAGTAAAATAAAATATCAATTAATAGACAATATCAAGTTGAATTGCTAATGTATTAACTATATTTATTAAATTAACATTTGAAGTAAAAAACTTACTTAATTGAATAAATCTCTCTCTCTCTCTCTCTCTCTCTCTCTCTCTCTCTCTGTGCACGCGCCCGTGTATATTCAAATTATTCGATTCATTGGAACAAAATTAATATATTGAAAAAGTGAATAGTACTATTCTTTCTTTCATGTTTTTAAATTTCTGTTCACCAGTGTTAGTAGCAATAGTCTTTGAACCTGTGATAATGACTATGATTATCGCAACAGACTTTTTTCATTCAATGAACTAATCAATATCTTTTTTCCTATAATATTTGTACGGGATATGTATCATCTACCCATATTCTCATGTTAATGTCATATCAATCGAGATTTTCATTTTTCACTCTTACTCTCTTCCCCCCCCCCCTCCATCTCCCTCTCCCTCTCACTCTCTCCCTCTCTGTCTCTCTCTCTCCTGTATTGTAATAATACGATCTTTACGTCTGAATTTTATTGCATTTAAAGCAGATACCGCAAGAATAGAGGCCTTGACGAAGCAATAAATTTGTAAAGTAAAGGGCATATAAACGTCCGTCGACGATAAATTTTTTCACTGCTGTCAATTTTTTTCTTTTAAAATTTTTATTTTCAAATATAAATATAGAGATAAAATACATAACAATTTTAAGTAACAAGCAGTCACGTGTATATAGAAGCATATTTCCATGCCATTCTTTTAAAAGTACAATATAAAAAACCACCTACAAAACATATATATATATATATTAGGAAAATTATGTAAAATGGAAAATATTAATGATAGAAAAAATCCTCATTTAAAGTATATATAATATAGTTATTAAATAATGTCTTTATCTACGAAGAGCAATTACATAGCCCATTTTAAAATTAAATATAAAAGTTTTGGAATAACTAAAATAATTACATTTAGATAATAGACATTTCAAATGGTATTTATAAACAAATGTTTTCATGGAAATAGTAATAAAACTGTATACATTGAACAGATTCGAAAGCTTCTTACGATTGAATGAGACATTATCAATGAATATAAATTAATTGATTTTAAGGTGGAGCCCAGTTGGAAAGCTCTGGAACAATTTGTCGTTCATGATATGCAAAATGTATTCGCTCCGGATGCACTCGAAAGTTCCCATCCAATAACCATTGAGGTCGATAATCCGGATGAAATCAATGAGATATTTGATCGGATCTCATATGCTAAAGGTGCCTCCATAATACGGATGATGGATCACTTTTTAACGACAGAGGTGTTTAAGCGCGGCTTAACCAATTACCTCAATGCTAAGTAAGTGTTTGTTATTCTTGTTCACACTAGCGTATCAAAGACCAGAAAGTATTTGCACTCTATTCGTAGTTTTTACGAGCTCGGAATATACCGTAATCATAATATATGCGCTTGCACGCACGACATAATTGGCTTTTATAATCGCTTTTATCAAATTAAATAACATAATCATCGATACCTAGGGCATACAAGAGCGCTGACCAAGACAACCTGTGGCACACCTTGACAAAGCAAGCCCATAAGGACGAAGTTCTTGACAAAGATATAACTGTTAAACAAATAATGGATACGTGGACATTGCAAACTGGATTCCCCGTCATTACGGTTAAGCGTAATTATCAAGATAATACTGCTGTCATTACCCAGGTATTGCGTATGTTAATTTTGTAAATTTGCAAAATCTTGAGCAATCTTTTAACTAGACAATGTCCTTAATACAGGATACGATTCGGTTAACATTAATTTATTCGTATTCATTTAATTTTTAAAAGAACTTATAATAGAGATATTCGCGTAATAGATTTGAAGTCATTAGGAGATAACGGAAAATTTGAGAAAAATCATGGTAAATGTAACATAGTCGATTTAAATAAACAAATAAGTAAATACAAATGCCTTATCGCTTTCAGTAATGACAATGATTGAAGTACATAATAATTAAATATAATTTAAATTTCGAAATGCTACTTTTAATGGTTATATTTTATAGGAACGTTTTATGCTGAGAAATCATAGCAAGAAGGGAAAATCTCCACTTTGGTGGGTCCCCATCACATATACTACCGCAACGAAGTTAAATTTTAATAAAACAAAGCCATCGACATGGATGAAAGTCGAAAAGTCAATTAATCTAGATAATGTAAGCGACGATCCAAATGAATGGGTTATTTTCAATTTATTAGAAACAGGTGATTTGATTATTTATTTTCTTCCCTGTTACAATCACATTATAAAATTTTTTAAACTTCATCATTATAATATTATTTTATACAAATTGTACAAGTACTTTGAATAAAAGTACTAGTATATTATATAGCTTATTGAAAAAGTGAAAATTAATTATTCACAAATATAATGGCAATGTCGCAATACAATACGTTAAAATAACAAAATTCAAGAATTAAAAAATATTTTATTGACATATTGATTTATCGAGCGAAATTCTCATCGGAGTGTAACCAATCATTTTACTCAGATATTACAATATTTCTGCACGAATATATAATAAGGAATTTGCATTTTTAATGCGCCTCCTCCTCCCCCCCCCCCCCCCCACACCCAGTTATCCGCGAAAATTTTTCAATAAATAAAATCATTGGCCGTTAAGAAGCGCGATGATGTCCTTCGAATAGTATATAAATAGACGATTTATGACTAGTTCGGTTGCTAGTTAATGCATTATTCCAAGTTGCCGCTGATTATAATGATTAGATGCCACTTTATAATGAGACCTAATGATAATATAAATCGTTTGAAATACTGGATATGCGAACTAGGTTACTACCGAGTGAATTACGATCAAAAGAATTGGCAGGCGATAATCAAGCACTTGAAAAGCGAGGGCTACAAGGACATACCGACGATAAATCGGGCACAATTGCTAGACGACGCCCTTAATCTGGCGAGAGCCGGTCTGTTGGATTATGGGACGGCCATGGACGTGACATCTTATCTCGAGCAAGAGACGGAGTATCTGCCGTGGAAGGCAGCCCTCTCAGCCATAATTTACCTCGACAACATGCTCGTGAATGTTCAGGGCTACGACATGTTCAGGGTAATTTTCTCGTAAGTCGCGGAGATGCTCCACGCGATCCTATCATCCGTTTATTTGATGAGCCGCTAAATTAGGATTTGCAGGATAACGTCTTTTCGTGTCGTGATAGCTTCCTCATCCGAGAATTTCGTGAGGAAGAATTATCTTACAAACGACATTGAGCGAGCGTTATTCTTTCAAATTACTAAAAATTATTTACTAATATCTGCGATAGATATTAATCGCGCGAGTAAAGCTAATTTAACAATCGTGTGTGAATGGAAATGCAATATCGTACCGCAACGTTCGCGTTGCTCAACGGCCTGAATTCCCACAGAAACATTGCCTGAAACTTCTGGACAACGTGTACCGCAACGTCAGCTTTAAAGACGACACGAACGACCCTCAATTAACGGTATTCACGCGAGCCGACATCCTCACGTTGGCCTGCGACCTCGGCCAGCAGGACTGCGTCAGCAACGCCGTGAAGCAGTTTCAAGAATGGCGAGCCAGTAACAATACCAGCGTCAGCAATCCCATCTCGCCTAATCTGAAGAGCATCATTTATTGCACGGCGATCCGCATGGGCGGGGAGTCCGATTGGAATTTTATGTGGCAGCAATACCTTAAGTCCAACGTTGGCTCGGAGAAGGACTTGTTGTTGCAGGCTCTGGGATGCACGAGGGAGACCTGGTTGCTTAGTAGGTACCTGAATTGGGCCTCGAGCAGCAATTCCTTTATCAGGAAGCAGGACATGACGAGGGTGTTCGCGTCCGTAGCGAATAATATAATCGGCCAGCCGATAGCCTTCAACTTCTTCAGGAACAAATGGAATCAACTGAAGGAATAGTGAGTATTTATCGGTGTATTTGAGATGGCTAGGATTCTTAATTATAAAGATTAATCCTACATGGCATATTCGTTTGGCGTTCATGTTGCCGACACGAAGAAATCGAATTATTAATTATTGACGCTAGTGTAGAGAATATAAAGATCGTTATACAGTTACGAATGATAAGAGAAAACGAGAAAATGTTTACATTAAGTCAATTGTGACTTAAGCCTTGTTTTTATCTTACAGCTTAGGCACATCGTTCAGCAGCATTAATGGCATCATTAAGGCATCGACCAATCGCATTAATTCTAAATACGAGCTAAAAGACGTGAGTTGCCTCTATATCGATATTATTGACAATAAAGCAGCTGGTTATGTAATCATTCTAATTTGAATTCTTGTTCCATTTTGATGTTAATGTAGCTTGTAGAATTCGTAAATGAGCACAAGGAGGAATTTGGCAGTGCCTCTCGAGCTGCCGAACAAGCAATAGAACACGTCGAGGCGAACATTCAGTGGCTGGAGAGAAATCATAAGAAAATTTACAACTGGCTGAAGAAGAAATCGTAAATGAATAAAACGAGACAAAGGATCAAGAGTATTTTCACTTTTAGGATACACGAAAATGCAGTACAATAAAATTTTGCTTTATAATGTGCAGAGCATCATACACTGACGTGAAAGAATATACTTATAACAATTAATATGGCTAATTCATTAATATATTTCTTATTTGCTACGAATTATTCTTGGAATACATTAATTGGTAAAAAAAAATTATGATGCATTTTTTTTTCTATAATCACTTGCTACTTATATATATATATATATATATATATATAATGTAAGTTTCAAACGATTTCAGCAAAACGATAACTTTCTTATCTCTATCGTGTTTAAAATGAATTTCTCTACTTACATTTCATATTATTCTTAGTTATTTCGTTTTTGGATATGTTAATTAAATTTAAGCTATTGTACTTTTATTGAAATGCTATTTTGAAAAAGAATATAGGATAAGCATAAGGATTTTAAGAATGTTTCTTCATGCTGATTTTGTAAAATATAAATATTATTTCGCGTATGAGATACTGTCAAATATTTATCTACGTTAACATAACGAACAAATTTTACAGGCCGCATTGGAATAACAATAATAATAATAATCGTTTAATAAGACATTACCTACATGTTTCTACGTTTATGCACTCAGTGTGAATGTATTTGATATTTAAAACTTACGAACAAATAAATAATTTTATCACATTTTAATTGACTGTTTGATGTGCAATATTATTACACTACTATGGCCACGAATATTTTTAACATTTTATTTAAAATATCAAGGAAATTTTTACCCTGAAAAAAAAAATACATTTGTCATAGTCGATTAAATTTATTAAGATATATTATTGATGTATAATATATTATAAATTTAAACAAATCAATTTTATTCGTTAAACTTTGTTTCATTCATTATCTTCTTATATTTAGATAAAACGATAATGTAAAAAATTATAATATTACATACAAATACACATATAATTCAATAAAAACATATTTTTTAGATAAGAATAGGTACTTATTTACCTTTTAATACATTATACATGCACTTAATAATATACAAGAGTTATTTATAACAAAATATTTTCTACTCCAGTGTAAATAGTTCTCTGAATGAAATTTTATTGCAAAAATTATAAGAAAGGAGTAAGTATGAGGTAGGATAGTGTCAAAATGCATTCCACGATTATTCTGTTTTATTAAGATTTTTACAGAAATAAAGAGTGTAAGAATATAAATATTCTTATAATTTTGTATAGTAACAAAACAATTAAATACAAGCTAATTGTAATTTATAAAATATTAGACGTTTAAAAATTTCTGTACTAATATTGTTAAAAAGTAAAAATAATAACTTACAAGCATTTGCTCGTTACAAATTGTTGTCACTAATACACTGACTAAAAACTAATACTTATATCGTAAACCAATTGAATTATTATTATATGCAAATGCAATTAAGAGTGTCATAAATTGTCATTTCTACTCGTATAATCTATATTTATATAAAGCTATATCGTCGTCCAAATTGTGTATCCTAATGAAAAAAAAATTGTATGTGTAAAAAATTTTATGGCTCATTAGTACATAAAAAAAAGGATATAAAAAGGGTATAGACAATGAAAATGGGCACTGCAAATTATTTAAGAGAATATTTTTATATGATATTAATGATTAATCCGTTTATTGCACATTTAATATGAAAATCACTTATATGCATCGGTCAGATATAATGATAAATATGGAATTATATGATACTATATTTTATAAAGAATAAAATATTTATAAAAGATTACTTAAAGTTTTTATTTTGTCATTGAAAGATATAAATTAATGAATTATATACAACATGAATAGTGACAGTAACGTGAAAAAGTAGAAATAGAAACATCGGAAGTATTATAACTTTTATTTGAAATATCTCGTATGGTGTGGATAAATGAGCATTGAAAGACATTTCTCTGTAGTTATAAGTTAAAATTTTATTTTCCATTCGTATTTTACATAATATAATAATATAATTGTATCTTCGTTATGACATAAAGACAGGTATATAAATTTATGCTATTTTATAATTCTTATATCATTATAAGCACTTGGTGAAATATTATCATTGTGCAATTAATAAAAATATTATTATCTTTACATTATAGTTCAATTACATAAAATTAAAAATTTCGCTGTACATAAATTTTACAACCGATATCGGTTGAGTACCACATTTTTAAAATATTCGCCAGTGCCCATTATTCTCTATTCATAGAAGGAGTCTGGCCAAATACTTCATATTGTTAATAAAAATGAAAGCAAGAATAATACGGCAAAATATTTCATGTTTTCAAAACTCTCTACGGAGCTTAGCCAAATTTTAGCTGTAATTTGTAAATGTTCATTAATCATAACAATGTTGCTATTGACAGCGGATAATAATAAAATTGTATTAATTTGCTATATAATTCTTTTTATTTTCCTGCAGTCGAATTTCGTGTACAAGAACATGCATCACGTATCTCATGAAGATTAATTTCAAAAGAAAAAGAAAATTATAATTACCAATAATATAATACATAGTGACGATGGCCTTCTATCCTAATATAAATTTTCACGTCGATTATATGAATTAAATTTTGTCATATCATTTGTATGATGTCTGTAATTCTTTGACAGCCAGGCATTTATTTTACCAGAATATTGATTCGACCAATTGAGGTTGAACTTGGCTATCTTAATAGTTGTTTTTAGGGAACTTTGTATTTCAAATGCAAAAACCAAATTTGACAATTTTTCCAACTGAAATTTTAAAGCATTACATGTATTATTAAATATACATACGTATATATATATATATATATGCAAAAAAAAAAAAATGTTGATGAATCTTTACGTATTAATAAAATCTTAATTGTGAAAATTTGTTACTTAAAAATAAAAGATATTCTTACGAGAGATATTTGTGCGCTTGAAGAGATATAGGAAGCCATATTTGTGAAAAGGGATCCAATTTCTTCCCAATTTCCAAAGCTAGCATTTTTTTAGAAATGAAAATAATAGTTTATGAATTAGTTACAATGAAGAAATTATTATTTGCAGAAATGTTTCAATTATTATAAATGTGGGATTACTAAAATATCATAATACGAGTTTTTTTTTTTTTTTTTTCGTTTTTTTTTTCCGAGTTTAAAGAACAATAATATAGATCTGTATTGAAAATTGTCAAGGCTAGAAATGTAAAATATCAAACGGTTTCATAAAAATTCCCAATTCTTTAACTATTTTAATTTTGCTTTCGATATTATATTAATGAGAATCAATAAGAAATAAACTTTATGACTTATAACTCACTAAGTATATAATTTCAGAATATTGCTTGCGAAATAGGTAATAGCTGTTTGCAAACCCACATCACCAGAGCCATAAATCGTGAACAAAACAGTTTGTATATCTTGACGACGGATTTTCGAATCCGATGATATAACAAGGTCCAAATACCTATTGTAAAAGTAATAATTATTATAATTTCATAATTTTAACTTTAAGTGTTTAGAATTTACCTTCTAATAAGCGTTGAATTCTTCGAGCAACCAAGACCTTTGAGTATCGCTAAATTTTGCGTTGACAATTTTGATTTCAAGTATTTATTCCACAATATGCTCCAGTCGTTCGACGATCCATGTTCTATGGCCGTGCAATAAACAACATTCGCTATATTGGGTGAAACTCTGAAATTAAATACAATTTTAATTTGTAATAAAGACACAGATGTAAGGACAATTTAAAAATTTAATTTTACGTCGATTTGGTAAAGTAAATCTTGGATTGTTTTATACAATCACTGTGCCCGTATTTACAAGCTACACCCAATATAAGTTCTCTATTAAGTTGTGTTGCAGTACTGTCTGTTTCCAGATCTTCTTCAAATCCAAGCTCTGCATAAATATTATTAACTAATGACAAAATATAACGAGCATAAAGGCGTTTAGTATCCGCTTGACCCTCGATCCTCTGTGAAAGGTAATTCAGCCCATTGAACAATGATTTCCATGATAGATAATTCGTCTCTCGAATCAGATATTTCGTAATGTCAAGAACGATTTCATAATCAAGATAACCAGCTCTAGCCAAATTAAAAGAGTCATCTAATATCTGAGCACGATTGACCACTTCTATGTTTGAGAATTTTTCGCTGTTCAGAATTGCGGTTAGTCGGTGCCAATTCTCCACATTGTAATTGATACGATAGAACCCACATTCTTGAATATTAACAACAAACCACGTATCAGTTGGTCGCAATATTATTTGCTTCTCTTCATTGCCGAGCCAAAATCGTGGTACTGTATTTTGAAAATCAGATTCACTTTCAGTTGTGTAGGTTATAGGAATCCAGTATACTTTCTTCTTATCAGATTCGTTGGAAGATGATGTGAGAAATCGTTCCTAAAATAATTAAACATTTTTATTCTAGTAGAAATTATACGTGAAAATTTACATTATTCTATTATCCTTTATAAACTAAACTTGAAACAAATACTAAAATTAAAATGATTAAAGATTAAAAATAATAAGTGAAATACATTGATATTAAAATGCACGTGCCAGTTTTGCAAATCCTTGTGTATTTATACAGTAGCGAATTAACTAAAAATATCTTACGTTTATGACGTATATGAATTATTTTATTAATATTATAATCAATGATTAAAACACAAAGCATTCATAATTCAGAAGAAGTAGCTCTAATTAAAAGCGCAAATAGATTATGGATCAATCCAACATATTATACAAAGTTATTATTATCATTAATGAAATTGCATAATTCCCATTTAATTTTGCTTAAATTAAAATTGATATACTTTATAAATTAGATTAAAACAAGTTACTGTGATAAATATCGCAATGAATATGCTATTTTATAATTTGTAATTACTATCATAAGAGAAAACATGAAATATAAAATACTTTTCTACTTCTAATTAATGTCTTTTTATCATTAAAGATTTTATTCGACTCAATTAATTTCAATTAATCAATAAAATAGCGATACATAGCATTTTAAGTTTATCAATAATTTTTCAATATACCTGAGAGAAGAAGACAGTGTTACCGACACGAGTAGCGTTAACAATTGGATATCCTGCTTGCGACGTCCAGCTATTTATAAAAGTACCTGCATCGACTTCTAATCCTCCCGGAAGTTCAATTTCTTCTGCATCTATTGCAGCTTGAAATTCATTGATGATGTACTCTGGTCTTGCAGTTCTGTATTTGTAATTATTTAGGTAATTCTTCAATGCTTGGAAGAAGATCTTGCTACCAAAGGTGTGATGTAACATTCTTAATACGGCCGCAGCTACACAATTAATAGATTAGTCAATTTATTAATTAGCGCAGAGTTAGATTAGCAAAGTTTGCTTTGTAAATCAATAGATATCTGTATTGTTGTTTCCTCGATAATTAATTTATTGAATATATATATATATATATATATATACATAATTAAAAATAATATTAAATTGTTTTAAATGAGACTTATAAATAAATGAACCATCCAGATATTCAAATTCATATATATATATATATATATATATATATACTACTTGAATAAAATTGAAAATGTTTAATTCTTACAAAAATCTAATAAAACTTATAATTTTTCAATGTAACTAAAATTAATTTAAATTATAAGTATTATTAAATAATTAAGTCAACTAATATAACTTTATTAAATAAATACTTAATTATGTAAAAAATTTATTTCAAACGCATGTGAAAATTAAGATTATCTTTAAATTTAGGCGTGAAAGAAGAATTGAATAAATAATATTTTAATTTTGAATATAATGGGAAATAAAATGAAGTTTGATAAATACTATATAGTAAAAATAATAAAAATAAAATGGAAAAGGCAAATATTTGGAATAGATATTTAATTTATGCAAACAGTTATTAATTTACTAAATACGTCTATTGTTGGCATTGAATTGAAAATCATTTTTCTTATATCAAAATACTATAAGATGAAAATAAACCAGATTTAACTTTCAATATAATTATTTTTTTCAATAGGAATCACTTACAAATTGTAATTCATCAAATTTTAAATTACCTTTAAAATGACACTCTTCTAATAAATTATGAAAATATTATGAAAACCAAGTAGGAAGTCATTTTTTACTGTGGTAGATAAGGTATTGTGGTCTACTAAGTACTAATTTTGTGAAATACAGTAAATAGATTTAAAGTTTAATTCTTACATTTTGCATAAGCAATTTTGTCGAATGCCTTTTCTACTTGGGACTGCGTATTAACATGATTATTCATAGGATGTGAATTTTGTGATGAGTCAACATCAAGTGCAGCATGTGTATTTTTAATTACAAATTCCTTTAATACTTGCCAGGTAGGCTCAATCTATATATTCAAAGCATATGTATAGATAGAAAAATATTTATAGCTTTTAAGTATAATAGTCCTAATGCAATGTTGCGAATATTTAAGTTTTACCGTATCAGTGATTAAATATGCAAGATATTCAGCAAATCCTTCATTGAGCCACGTGAAATCCCACCATTCGCAAGTAACTAAATTACCAAACCACATGTGAACAAGTTCGTGAGAGATTATAATATTAACGTATCGCTTGAATGATGCGGAAGTTTCCTGTGCATCGTACGTAAGACCATACTCTCTAAAGAGGAATTTTTTTGCATTAAACTATGGTTATCTTCAAATGTTGTTTATTACGACGTATCTTGTGTTTCGAAAGGGTAAAATTTAATAATTGGATTATTGAAAACGATGTCTTTTAAATATCACAAGAAATATCTCTAAAGATTCATTCATTTGGGATTTATTATGCATTCAGTGTACAATATGCCAATGGAGTAAATGTAATTGAAAATTCATCAATTTTCGAAAAACAATATTTTATATGCACTATTATATTAAATAAGAATATGGTAATTTATTGATACACAAAACTATAAATGGATAAATGAGATTGGAATTCATATTCATCCTATAATATTATTAAATATTAAATAATTAAAATAAAAACAAAAAACAAAAAAAAAACAAAAAAAAAAAAAAAACTTTTCAGTATTTAAAGTGAAAATGAAATTAAAATAGTAAATATTATTTACCATAAAGTTGATAATAATAAAGCGTAAATATATATTATTTTATCGATGATATTATTTTTAGTATTTAACAAACTATCCTTTCAATGTATTTATATTTGATAATGAAATACACGTTTTATCGTAATAGATCGTACCTGAATGTTACGAGACCCCAATTTTCCATAGCTCCTTTATTAAAGTCAGGAACAGCAACGAAATTCATTTCTTTTAAGGGATAAGAAACCTGCGTGAAATTCTCCAAAATCTGTAAAGCCTTTTGTCCAACGTCATATGAATATTCCATATAGTTGATTAATTGCGGTTTAGACCACACCGATAGTTTTGATTTCGTTTCAGGATATTTTTTGAAATCAGATACGACGAAAGCCAAAGTATAGGGTGACATTTTAACGGTTGTCTCATAATCGTCCCAAACTTGATCGTTAGTACTACAAATAGTAAAAAGTAGAATTTTAATTTTTTTCTTTGGTATTATTGAAGTTAAAGGATAAAAATCAAATTTATACCACTTTATTAATATGAACATTTTTTTAATACTTGAATCTTATTATATACTTATATCGATTTCATCTTGAATATTTATTCCTTATAAATTTAGCTCATATTGTAATTAATATTTTAGAATACTACAATGGCTTTTTCATACTTAATACATGAATGTCAGACTAAATTAATTATGCAGCAAGCTATTATAATGTATTAAGTATAATTATTATGTTTTAATGCATTTACAGTTTATATACAGTAAAAAATTCCTTTAAAATTATGATAATTAATTTCAACATAAGCGCACTTGTAGTAATATTTAAATTCGACGTATGTGTTGTATATTATTAAAAGTACTAATTAAATTTTATTATAATGCAGTCACAAAGGCATGCAATCATGGTTGTTTATATAATGTAGTCGAAAGAAAGGAATTTACAAAATATATCGAATTTATATGAACTATAGACGTGAGTTAATTTGTTAATGTTTACATTTCTATCTGTACACGGCCCGATTTGCGGTTTGATGTTTTATTCATCATATAATATTTGTCAATTTGTATGGACAGAATTTTATTCAATATGTCGAATCTTTATTTCCCCACCGTTGCTCGATTAATTTGAAAATACTTTTGTTATGAGCTTGAATCGAACGATCAGCTCTCTTGGCTTAAAGACCGCGCAAAGAAATCAAAAACTCAAAATTTAAAAGTAACCCGGGTAATGGAATACGAGCACTCGTGAGTATGATCAATACAATAGTTTGGATCGATACAATAATACTTGGGTAGAAACGCTTGCACAATATGAAAATTAATAAATAAAATTAGCATAATAACGTAAGAAGATTATGCATATTAAACGATCAAAAACATTGTAATATATATATATATATATATATATATATATATAAATATCGAAAATTTTAAATACTTTTGTTTTCAAAAAAACATTGACAACACATAGCATTAACACTATTTATCTGTATGTACGACATTTCGTGCCAATTATGAAACTAAAGAGTGTAATGAAATTCTTAGATTATTAGTTTTTGTTCTGAAATTGCGAGAATCCGTAACGAGCAATTAAAATATAAATGCACCATTGAAAAATATAATATAATGACTTACTCGATGCTCTCTGTAGGCGATGAGCCCATATTACTGAGAGTTCGATATCCCGTTGGCTTTGCAATGTGTACTGTAAACTTTGATTTAAATGACGGCTCGTCGAAGCACGGGAAAGCTTTTCTTGCGTATGTTGGCTCAAATTGTGTAGTTGCTATCCACCTTGATAATACGAGAAATAATATGAGGGACGCTTGGCATTACATTACACGTATCCATAGTTTCGTTATAAATATCTCAATAAAGTCATATTTATGTACATTAAATATGCTCTTCGATATATATATATATATTGCATAATAGATAAAACTTTACTATGGTGTTGAATTAAATTACAAACATTTTTTACATTTCTAGTACTTTTTCAAGTGTCTTAAAAAGGCCTTTTAATAAGAGAAAAATGGCAATTAGTTTAATCACTGATTTTCAGATGTCATGTGAATGAAAAAATAACAGGATAATTTAATTCTCAAAGTGTTCTGTATTATCATTATTTTAACAAATGAAAGTTTTATATGAAAATTGTTATTTATATTACGTGACAGTTCGATTAAATAAACGAACTTTAATAGGATTATTTACAATAACGTATATAGTTATACTTTTATATTAGTACTTATCGTGTAAAATATATGATAAAATTCCAAATTGAAATTGAAATATTACAAACTATGGAAGTCTTTTAATTTTGATGAAAATTTTCCATTTTCAATTTGTTTGTATACCTACTTCTTCTGTCCATTCTCATCGGTATAAGAACTTCTATAAAATCCTGACATATCGTCCCTCAGATGTCCTCGATAATCGAAATTCAATTTAATCCTTCTTCCGGCGTTTATTATTTTTTTGAAATAAATGGTCAATATATTCGTTATCTCGTTATGAGAATAAGACAGAATTTCATACGAATTATCGGACGCGTAAATTTTCTGCATAATTAACTTATCCGAATGAAGGACTATTTTAAATGTATCAATTTTAATATTAATGTCAATTGCGACACTTCCCGTGAATTGGAAATTCTCCTCTTCCAAATATGGCTTGAGATGAATGTCATAATGTTCTGGCGATGCAAATGTTGGTAAACGATAGTTTGAATCATAATCATACTTCTCCATGCATACAATGATTCTTGAAGCTCGCTCTTTGTACCAATTTAATTCGTATTTTGCGCGCTTCAATGAAGATTGAAGGGATTTGCTCATGCTTGGCTTATATTTCGTGATATTAGTGACGAAATGTTCGAACTGAAAAAATTAAAAAATATTTAACTTTCATAACCACAAAGATTTAAATGTATATAAAAAGTGTTGAGTAATGAACATTTGAAATTAATTAGTAAATATACATAGAATAAAAAGCCACTATAAATAACACTGCTCTATGAATAGTGTGAATATTGTCGGAAGAATGTTTGCTAATTGAATTAAACTTACCTGTATAAACATATTATTCGTTGGCAATCGTTTTGATATTGAATTAAAGATATTCTTCATTGTACTATCATCGTTGAAACTGAATATAAAAAGAAAATGTATACATATGTGTGTGTGTGCGCGCGTGCGCGCGTGCGTGTGTGTGTGGGTGGGTGGGTGGGTGGGTGGGTGGGTGTATACATGTATACATTGTAAATTCATGATTTCAAAATAAATATCTCAATATTATAACTCTATTTTCCCAGACCAAAAAAATAAATAAATAAATAAATACAGATATAAGAAATAAGAATATCGTACAAAATATCTTACTATTTATGTATTTTTAAATAATTCGATGACATAAATGTTAAAGCTGTTTTTACTCCAATGACACTGCTGTCAATGATATTGATGAATACTTTTTTAGCATCTTGAAGTCTTATTTGATTACCCGCTGTAATTGTTTTATATAACAATCTGAAAGAAAGTTTATTTAATGTTTGCTTTATCGTCAAATTTATAATTTATGCCACAAGTAATATTTATATACGTCTCTAATTTCGTTGAATTTTCCGAGCATGCCAGTGCTGATAAAATAACCAAGTTTTCCTCGGCGTAATTTGACTTTTCAAATTTCGTCCACAGATAATTCCAGTCTCCCGCTGTTCCATGCCTAATGGCAGTGCAATAAACAAAGCTACGTTGGTTTGCCGGCACTTTGTAACTAAATAACAAAAAACAATAGCATATTAATGTTCATTGTAATTATCTGAATAATCGATTAATATCGATTACTTAAAAATAAGTATATTATTCATACAAATTCGCACGTCGAAGTTATATGATATAAAAATATGATTCATTTGGTTTATTACATTTTTAATATATCTACTGATAAATTTATATCGTTTCGACTCGAGTTTGAAATAGTTTTCAAACGAATTGAAATATTTTTAATTTTTAATTAGAAAAAATGTTGATAGTAATATTTTGAATGTGATGTAATAATGTGAAAGACCCTTTACATTATTTTATAAGCCCTTGAAGGAATATACATAATATATATAATAACGAATTACAAAATTATTTCGTTAAATCGAAATTATCCTTAAAATAATAAATGTAATAAATTTGAAGTCTGACGATTAATTAATAGTGAAAAATCTGTGAGCGTTAATATTATAGTTAAGATAAATTTAATGTTGCAATTTATATACCGTAGAGTCTAAATTTCTAAAGTTTAATCAATCAATTTATTAACTATACCTTGAATGCGCATTTAAATATTATATTTTCAGAAAAAAAAAAAAAAAAAAAAAATCTTGAATATAAAGCTAAAGAGCAAGATACTATTGGAGAATAAATACTTTTAAAATACCCATAAAATGGCGTTTGGAAGACAAATAGGCACAATAATGATAATTGGTCGATAAAAGAGTGTAAACTTTGCATTGTCCCTCTTATCGCAACGGAGTTATAGTTCGAAGAATAACCTTACCTCGGCTCGTGCTGCTCCTTATTAAAAAGCCGAATAGACTCCTTGACGCACATAGCATGACCAAGGCTACATAAGAATTCGAGAACGAGTTTCCTTAAGAGCGTGTCCGCGTAGGGCTCCCTAAATCTATCGACGAATCCTAATCTCTTGAAATTCGGCTCCAATAGGGACAGCACATAGATCTATGAACATCACGATCCGATTGAATTGATGAATCATAAATCATAGATAATGAGAACGCAATGTCGCATGAAAAGTCCGTACCCTATACGAGTCATAAATCTCGGGACGATTGACGAAGCGCTGGGTAAGGTATGCCAAACCATTGTGGGCCGCTTTCCATGGTGCATAGGCAGTTTCGTTGGCGAGGTAACGCAAACCTGCAAAGACAATGTCGTAGTCCAAGTATCCTGCGCGCCCGAGATTCAGCATGTCATCAATTAGGGAGGCTCGATTGATCTCGTGGATGAGGGAGTACTCGCTGGAATTCAGGGCATCGATGATGCGACGCCACATTATCGTGTCGTAGTTCACCCGATAATAACCTATGACAGTTGGACAAACAATTGTTTATTCTCAGTAGTAGCAAACGTATAATGCGCATTGCAATAAAGCGAGATTATTAGTTCTATTTTAATTGAAGTTTTAACGCAGCTACGTACATGAGCTATTAACATCTCTCGATAAAATTAACAATGTTTATTGAAGCCTTAGTCCTCTCACATTTGATAATGAAAATTTAGTTTTTTTCGTGAAAGAGAAGAGAGAGGGAGGGGGAGAGAGAGAGAGAGAGAGAGAGAGAGAAAGAGAGAGAGAGAACATTAATTTACCTAACTCGTGTAATAAATTAAATGAAGCTCACCGGTTTGCTGGATGTTGAAAATTACCCAATCATCGCTGTTTAGATTTGTTATTTGAATGGATTTCGATTTTTTTTCTAGCCAAACAACATTTTGAGTATTTTTAAAGTTGGGGTTACTGCGAGTAGCCCAATTTATTGGTATACTCCATGCAGTTCTGCTGGTTTCATTTATCACCGGTCGTAAGTAAAATCTCGTTTGCGTTAGCGTGGCCTTATTATTTTTAAAAGCAACATTTACTACCGGAAAGCCCGATTGTCGAGTCCAACTATTCATAACTTTAGTTACGTTAAATTTCGTTGCACTATTGGGTTTGATTTCATGTTGGAAGGCAGAGAATAAGGCTTGCGGCGTTCCTGTTGAATATTGCCTATAAAAATAACCCACGTGTATTAATATTTCTTTTAAAAACCAAGTAAAAAAAATTAGATTTTAAAAATTTTACAATATATATATATATATATATATATATATATATATATATACACACACACATTTACACGAGCTCATTAATTTGCGATACCATATACAATTTTTAATTAATTAATCCGTCGCAATTGTGATACCATAGTATATGAACAAAAGAGACTTGTATCTTTATTTGCATATAATTGCTGAATAATCAAGGACATTTTTAAATTAATAAATTAATAATACGCTATGTATAATTAATATAATGAAATATGTCGAAATATTTCACGTAACTCTTAATGATATATATTCCTAATATAATAATATATAACAAAGGCTTTATGAAAAAAATAATATATATATATAAGTATGTGTGATTTCATAAATATTATATATGTACCGGTCTTGGAGATAATGATTTAAGGCGTCGTAAAATGTGTCCGATCCGACCAATTTTTCCATCATTCTAATTAAACTTCCAGCTTTGCCATACGATATTTTATCAAATATCGCTTTGATTTCACTGGGACTGTAGACTTTGTGAGTGACTGGATGTGTACTCCCCGACGCGTCAAGTGAAAATGATGTTTGCAAGTGATCGACAACAAATTGTGTTTCCAAATTCCACAAAGCTTCAGCCTAACAGTCGTATATTTGAAACACATTGATTGTTAGAATAATTAGAGATAGATACATATTTAGATAATAAATCATGCTAAATCGCAATAAAATTGAACATCGTTTATCCTCACATACCTCATATTAATCTGAAATTCTTACTTTCATTGCATTAGTAGGTTTTTCTGTATATATTAGATATAAAAATTTTTCATTTATTATGAACTATTAATAATAATTCACGTAGTATCTAATGTAAATTTTTGAAAAGTTTAAGATCCTAATAATTTTTAAACATTAATACGAAGAAAGAAATTAATTTTGTTTTTTGTTTTTTAATCCTTAATAATACAGTCTTTCATTTAATAATGATTAAAAAATAGATAAATTAATATTTTTCTATTGGCAATGTACATAAATAAGCCACGCGTACCATTTAAATGCGTTTAAACGCATCAATGTCAAATATAAAATAAAAAATGAAATTTATTAATTAAAAGTCTAGTGTCCTTCTTAACGGTACATTAATCTCTCGAGTGGGTCTGACGAGTGAAGTTTATGCAGTGTAAATAATAAATTTAAAAAAGATTGAAACGAAGTAATTTTTATATCGTTGCGGTAAGGTGCTTAAGATGTGCACGAGAAACTTATAAAAGATGCTGTAGGCGTTGACTAGATAGGTACTTATCATTAACGGCTAAACGTCTTTATATGGGATTAGTATGCATTTTAGATTGCATGGCAACTAATTCTCTAGATTTATTGGAATATGCACAGAATAGAAACGAACAAATAGAATGAAAAATGAACTCTTAAGTTAAAGTAAACTTTATTTCATTACATTAATCTTTATTCCCGTAGAATGCTTATTATTCCATTTGTACAATTATGGATACATAAAACATTTATCTAATTAAGTTTTGTATGTTCTCGAAATATACTCAACGCAATCGTATTTTATATATTATATATAATGTCGAATCTTTTTATACATCAAGCTTTATGTCTTTTATATCATTTGATCGGATTTGGAATACAATAAGCATTCCCCTTTCAAAGCCCTTACAAATAAAGTCTTTTTATTCCAAAGATAATTAACTTCACGCAAATATACATGAAGCATCGATTATACACATCATTCGACATGCAATTCTCTACTTTATAAACACACGCCTATTTTCATCCTTTCTTCGCAATTTCTTCTGCTCCTACCTCGTTAATATCATAAAGTTAATCTCTACTTTCCGTACTTACTTGTTTCAATTAATATTTAATGAGGAAAGTGCAGATTAAGCAACTGTTTCCTAAAATGTTAATAATAATACCGTTTAATATTACCTAATAATTCGGCTAATGCACGGATAATGTGTGAATTAGGATGAAATTTGGCGTGAAATAAAAAGTGAGAGGCCGATGTGACGATAGTGCTCATGCTCGTATTGCCGAGTGAAAGTGCAGACAAGGGGACTCAAAGTCCCGAGGAAGCGTCGATCTTAACTTACGTCGCTATGGGCGTGATACTGGAAGTATCTCGCGAAGCCTTCGCTAAGCCACAGATAATCCCATCGAAGCGGACTGACTAGATTGCCAAACCATTGGTGTGCAATTTCGTGGGCGATGATATTGTGCACCGCCTGCTTCGATGTGATGCTCGAGCTTTCTCCCCCGTCGTACAACATGTTAGTCTCGCGATATGTAATTAGGCCCCAGTTCTCCATTGCGCCGGATACGAAATCCGGTAGCGCGACCATATCCAGCTTGGGAAGCCCGTAAGAGATGCATAATCTCGTCTCCAGGAACTCGATTATCGGCTGCATAACCTCGAGCGAGTAGGAGAGATACTGGGCCATCGGAGGGCTTGCCCAGACACCGTAAACCCGATCGTCGATGGTGTGCTGTTGATACTGGAAATCACTTACCACTACAGCCACCAGATACGTTGACATCACTGGAGTCTGGTGGAATTTCCAAATTCCGCTGAAAAAGGCTTCGTATAAGGCCCTCGTTGTTTCAATTTTACAAAAAAATACTTTCAACGTAATTAAAGAATTTCATTTAAATATCTACTTCGTTCCAGCCTGTTTCAAATCAATGCTAAATATGTGCGTGCGCGCACGTGTGGGTGCGTGCTAGTCTTTAATATTTCGTTAAGTTATTAATTATTAATTTTTAATATCTTGTGCTCGTATTTCACGCGAGGTTGCGTGGATCTGTGAGAGCGTGTATTCGCGCGTGCGCCTCTCCGTACGCGAGTGCCTTATCAATAATAACTTTTTTCATATCAATACTATTTTTTGCGTGTTTGTTTGATGAATCCTTGCAGATCGTACACAAAAAGGATGCACGCACGAGAAAATGACGTAATATCAACGGTGCACGAAGTTTGCAAACGTACGAACTTTCTTCTAATGTAACGATCGACGAGATTAATGGGAAAGCTCATCGTCGAGAAATAATGATTTCATGAATACACTCACGTTGCCGACTGTGATTTAACCGGCATATTACTAATGGCGGTATAATACTTCGGTACAGCTACACTTATGTCGAAAGTAGATTTCAGGGCGGGTTCGTCGAAGCAAGGGAACACTTTTCGTGCAGCCACTGGCTCCAAATGCGTTGCGGCCAACCATCTAAATGAAAATGAAAGCTTTTTATTGCGGTTTAAAGTTATTTGGATTAGAGAGCGTTAAAAGGACTTCCTTCCTCCTTTATAAATAATGCGTTGCTCTGAGAGACAGAGTTTCTTTTTCTTATTTTTTTTTTTTTTTTTAACTTTCAGAGTTATAATTGTAGTCGAAGGTAATTAGTATTGGATACTTTATATTAACATTTATAACTATAATTTAATATGAGTAATTTAATATTGGCTTTAAAAAAAAAATAAAATAAAATATCTAAACATTTTTATACATACCGAGTTTGATTATTCCTAGTATAAGAGCTTCTATAGAATCCCCTCATGTCTGTGTTTAGTACTCCTGTATACGCTATGTTAATGCTAATGTCTGTACCAGTTTTGATCGGCTTTTCCATAATAATAGTCAAGAAATGATATTTTTCCATTTGCGATACATTTAATACGGCTAGCTGGTGGGGAAAATCATTTTCCTCGTTAAATTGATAAACCTTCAAGTCATTGATCGTCAATTGATCAGCGTGAAGTACAATTTTCCTTGTGCTTTTATTTACTTTGGCAAATATTTTAACTATACCGTTGAAAGTGAAATTGTTCGGAATGATGAAGGGGGCCAAATGAATCGTATAAGCACTAGGAATTATGTTATCAGGCAGTTGGTAAGCCGTGTGACAATCATCAGAAGCTATCGAGTTGATTATAATGGGAGAGTATTTATTAAACCAATCAAGCTCGAAATTTGCAATTTTTAAAGTCTTTTCTATGGAAGGTTTGATGGAATTGAGGTAGGTTTCATTATTGTTCAATAGCTTTTCGACTTTGTGAATTAGCTTTTCCGTTGGATGCCACTGCAGCGCTCCCATAATGAAGTTTCCAATTTCATCAAAACTATTAAAGCTATACAATATTAATTTTAATTTATAATTTCTAATGTTATTAATTCATTTAATTAAATACATTGTTATTAGAGTACTAGAATTAATATTCTTTATGTAAATCGAAGCATCTCTAATATCTTTATGATTGAAAAAAGTTCCATGAAAAAAGGATTATTTATCATAATTTTCAAACTCCTAAAACCTTTCCGTTACTTAACATTTCCCATAATAACAAGAGTAATGTAGCATTTAATTAGTTATTATGAACATTTTCTGGCAAATTTTATTCGATATTTCATATTTTTTATGTTATTAATGTTTCTGTTCCGAAAAAAAAAAAAAAAAAAAAAAAATTTCTAATTATTTATAATTTTTTAGATTGACTTTTTTCAAACTTTCCTATGATTAAAACTTTAAATTAATTTACTTACTATTTAAAAATATTTTTGTTATACTTTTCAATAAAGTCAATCATAAATTCTGCCCCTTGTTCATCTTTAGTATAAATTCCGCTGAAAAGATTTGTAATATCTTGCTTGCGTATGTAACTATTTTTAAATCCTGTTAAGGCTATTAAAAGATATCTAAAATGAAAGAAGAAGAAAAAGAAATTGAAGAAAATTTGATGTTTTTATGATTAACAAGGAAGTTTTGAATTCTAAATCCATTATTACTAACTTTTCAAGTATTTTAGTATCCCTGGAGCAGCCAAGTGCATATAAAATATTCACTTGCTCCGTTGCGACATTGGAACTTTTATATTTTTTCCACAAAAATTCCCAATCAGCGGTGCTACCATATTTTATTGCGTTACAGTATGCCACTGATCTTTGATTTTTCGAAATGCTGCTTGGCAAAATTAATTTATAATAGACAGTCATTATATCATCAATGTGTACAAGCTAAACTAAAGTATCGAGCACGAATAAAATCTACTTAAAAGCATTATTATTAATTCAAATGAATGTTAAAAGATTGTAATTTAAAAATACATCGTTTCAAATTACTAAACGATTATTAATTAAATGTGCGTAGGCCGATTTGATTTATTTGCAATTAAACTCAATAATAGGACGTATGCTGTCTATTGAACTTATCAAACAATATAATTTCCATGCATTGCTAGGAATAGCAAAAGTCTTAGATTAAATGGATTTTAAAGAGCAGAATGCTCTAAGCTTTATACTTACGGTATATTCTTATTTCTCCATTCTGAAAAGTAAGTTTGAGATTTTTCGATGCACTCGGGATGCTCGAGCTTACAAGCTCTATTATTAATTGTTTGTCGCAACAAAATTGTAAATTGATCATCTGCCAAATTATCATCGAAACCTATTTTATTGTATATATTTGCAAATAAAGACATCGCATATTTCTGCAAATGTATTAAACACAATGTAAAGGTGAAAAATGTGATAAGTATGATTTATAATTGAGGGATTGGAATTGCAAATTACTTTGCAAAAAACTCACTTTGAAAATATCATAATCAGGACTTGTGCTGAACCTTCTAATCAAATAGTCTAGTCCTGAAAAGACGGACTTGAAAGGCAAGTAATTTGTTTCTCTTTTAAGGTATTGAAGTCCTTCAAGAGCGATTTCATAGTCAAGTATTCCAGCTCTCGCGAGATTTAGCAAATCATCCACAATAGCGGCGCGATTCAATTCGTGAATCTTTTCAAAATTATCGCTCTTTAGAACGTGGATAATTTTCTTCCATGTATCCTTATCGTACTGTACGCGATAAAATCCTAAAGCAACGCCACGATCAATGTCATATTTGTGTTGATTATGTTAAAGGAGCATCCGTTCGTATTTCTTTACAAACCTATAGATTGCACGTTAATAATCATCCAGTCCTCGTCTTTATTTTTATTTGGTATCGAGCCAGTAAACTGGTTTTGTCGACTGACTTGTGCTGTTAGCTTGACTCGACAGCGTCCAGGTTATTGGCACCCACCACGTCGAATCGGAAGGCACAGTATTTTGATTTTGAAGCAAGAATCTCTGTTGGCTGAATTTAATGCAATCGCGCTTAATGGTCACTGTTATGTATGGGAAACCGGGTTGGTCCGTCCAAGTTTTCATGATCGTAGCGACGGATAAATTGAATTTCGAATGTTGATTGGCATCTATACGCTTTTGAAGTGCTTTCCATAAATCATGGGGCATGGCTGATTTATACTTTCTGCAAAATTTATCCAAGTTCTTTTCTTACATCTGGATAAATGTTTTCCAATATACGAGAGCAATGAAGGGGGAAAAAGAAAGATAAGCCCTAACGATTTACTAGTTAAATTATTCACTACACTTTATAAGCTCAATATTGCAATTATAATTTATAGATTAGATATTATAATCAATAGATTTATATGTACCTATCTTTTAAATAAGCACGTATTGCAGAATTAAATATATCCGTTCCAAAGGTATGCTCCATCATCCGTACAATACTTGCACCTTTAGAGTAAGTAATGATACCTCCCATCTTTCTAATCTCTGCTTGGGAAGATACGGCACGCGTCATTGGTACAGAATTTTCTAAGCTATCGGTGTTTAAAGCAACTTGGTACTGCTCAACCAGGAATTGTTGATTCATCTTCCAGCTACTTTCTATCTATTGCATTATTATTACAATATTTCGATTAAAAAGAAGAAGAAGAAGAAAAAAAAAAATATATATATATATATATATATATATATATATATATATATATATAGTAATATTTGTTGTTAATAAAGTAATTAATAATGACTGTTGACCGTAATATTTATCATAATAGTGTAATGTACTAAACATATATATTTTAACTAATAATGGATTCATCATAATCCGTGTAATGGAAAAATTTTTCTTCATATATTATATATTTATAACGATTGCTGATATGTTGTAAATTGATTATACAAGTCAAATCAATATTTTTAAAACGTCGATTTTAGATAAAAAATAGTTACTCTGACGACATAATGTGATAAAATTAAGTTTATGTGCAAAATTGCATCTTAAATATATTTATCCAATTGCATTCACGTGTGATATTCGTAAATAAATGAAATACTTTTTTACAACAGTTATAAAGAATTAGTGTAATTGTTAATAATTGTTAATTTGATTAAAAGTGAACGACACAATTTTCTCTTTACGATTGTACATTTACTTATTAATGGTATTATTACTTGTTAACCAATGCAACATAGGCAAAAGTATTCGAAGGTGTATATAACTTTTAGAATATAAATTTTAAATGAAAGAACCTATTAATGCTGTAATATTAATTGCAAAACTATCCTAATGTGTAGGTAATTTTTAGAATTTAACTTTTAAATGAAAGAACATATAAATGCTATAATATTAATTGCAAAAAAAGTTTTCTTTTCGAAGGCATTAATAGAAATACTTCTATTCAACCAAAAGCGATTGCATTAGAAAATTAACAAACTTTTCTTGGCTACGAATACGGTTTGAAGTCGGATATCATTCGTAACACTAAAAATTAAATATGAGCACATTTTCACAGACCTGCTTTCGACAAAATAAACATTTAATTATTCACGTAATTTTTATTTATAACGATAAGGTTTGACCAGTGCTACTTTCAATCAGATAATAAACGTGAACTTTCTTTTATTTGCAAAGCTATAATTTTTAATTGACTGCGAGACATTTGTAACTTAAAAAAAAAAAAAAAAAAAAAAAAAAAAAAAAACTGCAGGAACAAAAGTTCGCAAAAGTTTCAACAGTACAATGCGATAAAAATAGGAGTATAGATTAAAATTAAATACACGGCTAATTAATTTCTCTAAAGTCTATTACCGTTTTAGGTACTAAATTGGAAATTTCAGAAAATTAATTAATATCAATGTTATTGGTGGATTGTGGATTATATAATGCAATTAAGGAATTTCAGAGGCAAAGCCTACGCCGATCGAGCGCACTTCACGTAAATGGGAATTCAGTCTAGAGAGAAAATAGAGCTTCGAGCGAGTATCAAGTTCTCGTGAAAGAGCTCGCAAAAAGCATTACACCAAGGATAAGGGTCTACGTGTCTGGCAATCCAAATGAAAGAATGAACATCGCGCGCATCCCACCTTGTGCATAGCCATGTACTGGTAGTATCTGGCAAAGGCCTCGCTCAACCAAAGATAACTCCACCAGTCGGGCGTGACAAGATTACCGAACCACATATGACTACACTCGTGCACTACGACGGCGGCGATACTCTGCTGAACGGCCGTCGACGATTCGACTTCGTCGTAGAGTAGCGACGTCTCACGGTATGTGATAAGGCCCCAGTTCTCCATGGCGCCGCTCGCGAAATCCGGCAACGCCACCATGTCCATTTTCGGCAGTTGATAAGGTTCGTTAAATAGATCCTCGAAGTAAGCGAGAGCCGCCGCACCGATACCCGAGCTGAAGTGGGTCTGGTTCAGGGCATTTGGCCGAGACCAGATTCTAAGGGACGAGTCGTCCTTGGCCAAGGATGAGAAATCCGAGATTACAAACGCTACCAAATAAGTCGACATGACCACGGATTCGCTAAATATACACCAATTTCTATAAAAAAAAAAAAAAAAAAAAAAAAAAAAAAAAAAGAATGAACAAAAAGTAATTTTAAAGTGGCTGGTACTATGTGCATGAAATCTTCTTGTCTCTATATTGAATCGGATATAAATATATTCGAATATAAATATTTATTTCCGCGATATAAATTGAATTCAGTAACGTGAAAGAGAAAAATTAAAGCCATTAATGTTTAATAAAATAGTTCGTATACAATTACAATGATATAATCAACTTTATTCAAATTAATTTCATTTTCATAAAAATATAATATAATCGATTAAAACTATTATAGCGTTCTTAATTATCCTAGTCGAGTATAATATAATATTCTCTGATATTAATCTTATCATTTATGAAATTTCAATATCTTCAAATTAAACTTATCCATTAGGTTATCCATTGAAAATGAAAAGAAAATGAAATAGAATAAAAAGAAGAAAAGAAGAAAAAAAAAATGAAAAGCATCGCTATAACGGTATAAAGTGAAACAGGAATAATTAAATACATAATAATTAAATGAGTAATAAAATACAAAGTATTAAATGACAAGTAAGTAAAAAATAAATAGTTAAAAGGAAATTGTTTAATGAGAAAGTGGGGAGAGAGCAAAAAATATCTTCAAAATTATTTTTAACATAAATTCTTAAGTATTGACAATAAAGTTCGACTTCGATATTACGAGCTCATACGAGTAGTGTGTGCCAATTTTCTATAAAATAATAAAATAATCAAACGGCGATACAAACCCCACAACTTTTAATGCCATATTACTCAAGCAGCTATACCCTTCCGGTCGGAAAATGCTTATATTGAATGTCGATTTTAAAGCTGGCTCATCGAAGCAAGGAAAAGCATGTCTTGCGTGAGTACTTTCGAATTGAGTTGCTGCTAACCATCTGAGGGAGAATTTGAAAAATTGAATGCATTACGAATTCGAAGAATTTCTCATTGTATAATATAAGCTTACCTCTCTTCTCCATAATCATCGATATACGAACTCTTGTAAAATCCGATCATGTCATCTCGCAATGTACCGTTGAAAATTAGTTGAATGCTAATCTGCTCCGATGGCTGCAGATATTCTGATAAAAAGATACTAAATTTTTCGGTTGTTGTGTTGTAGCTCATCGCGGCAACATTTAATCGTCTGTTATCTGCCAGATTTATTAAGGACGTTACATAGGCTGTCAAATTTCCTAGATGCAGTTCGATCTCCTTAGTATCTTCTATTATCCGTGCATTTATTTTGACGGTGCCATTGAAAGTGAAGCTGGAGAAATTTATCTCGTGGAATTTAATGTCATAGGCTATGGGTATAACTGATTTTAGCAGCCGGTATTCTTTATTTAATAGCAGATCATTATTGTCAGAATACAATATATCGTTATGTTGAATGAAATCGTTTGCGATGCTGAGCGACGAGCCGAGAAGTGTCACCAGCAAGAAAAATACCAAAAGCCCCTTCGGGATGCCCAACATTTTTGCCTCTATTAACAAATTACAAACAAAACTATGAGCGATGATTTTTGTAAATCAAAGTATAATAAATAAGCGAGGAATTAATTACTTTAATATGACAAACGGGAATAATTAACTATCTTTCGCTAAATAACTACCGTTATTGTGAATAGTAAGAAAATAAGCCTGAAAAATGATAATTACTAAAGCAATCATGTAATACTATATTTCAAATAAGTTATGGTTCGATCATTAATAACTTAGTAAATGAAGAGAGTCGGGTATTTAAGTGATTTTATGGGGTCATTGACTTCACAGACATTCAACTGCGTATAGAATTATGAAATTTTATTCCGCATTAGAATTTTAACGAATTCTTTAAAAAAAAAAATAAATAAATAAGTAAAGATGAAAAGATAACAAAATAAAAAAATAAAAAAAAAATAAGAAAAAAATTTATAATTAAATAAGTAATAATCAAAATTGCCTAAAAGATTGAAGCTAAATATGAAAAAATATTCAATATGAATTATTGATGAAAAATTAGAAAAATTATATTATATCCTATTATATCATATAAATATAATAAAGAATATAATATTAGAATGAAATGATAAAATTCAATATTGCTTTTATTCATACTTTACAAAGTTGTATAATTTAAGATCAATCGCATAGAAACATCTCTTCCACTTATTTAATATATTTATTTGACTGCATATATTTATTTTTATTTGACTGCACAAAAATTGGAATAATCATATTCTTTTACGTACAATTATATTTTAATTATGTGGAATGTAAGAATGTTTTAATTAATTGAAAGCTGCATGAATTATATTTATGACTCAAAGTTTTATGTTTTTATAATCGCCAATGTATTCTACTTATATTATGAATTTCATTGTAAAAATTATTATTTAATCCGAAGGATGAAAGTATCACATAATATGTATCACTAAATTAAACCTTACCTTGGTGTAAAATTTTAAATAGAATTATTTTTCACGTGTGATTCTTTATACATATTGTTAATTAATGTATTTTTGTCATTTAGGAATTTTGTCACTTACAACAAATGAAAAGAATTTGAATGCTAAAAGTGAATAATCAACCTTTTTTTTTATCTATATTTTTCATTCAACCTCAAGTATTAAATTAGTCTCGATCTGTACTTCCAATTTCACTTATTCTAAGAGATCGCTAACGATAATAGCAGATCTATATTATTAATATTAAAAATTAGTTATTAAAATTCACGTTGAAAATACGCTTCAGTTAAAAATTCGGATCAATTATATTTAAGGAACTCATATTTTAATATTCATTTTTAGATTCAATTTCAGATTCAAATTCGAATTCAATGGGTCCCATTACAATTTACTCGATAAGAGTGTATTGAGATTTAATAGAAATATATTATAAACAATATTGTTATCAGCATGTTAAATCTCCCGACTATATTATTTCGCATTTTCGTATTATTTTCAAGCGTGAGTGTTGCACACATCAAATTTTATAAAAACATTGGTAAAATAATCGGAAGTACATACCATACGAAACTTCATTATAAATTGTCGATTACAGCCTACAATTTTTTGTAGCTGCGCAATATATTAAAATTAATTTAATACTGCCATTGTCGAGTGCATATCGTTAAATTGCATGAAACAACAATAGAACATCGAAATGGCCAAAGATAGGTAAGACACAATATAGTATTAAATATATTGTAATTATATTAAATCGACTATGAGATAATGAGAATGTACCAATGTAATGGCAATCGTGAGTGAATATTTTCAGTGCCACTAGAGAAGATAAAGAAAGAGGACGCCTGGAAGACCTGGAAGTTGAGGAAACTCATAGGAAAATCATAGATGCGAACGCATAGTTGATACAAGTAGATTAGCCATCGGACAGCGATACCATTATCCGAGCATTTCCTTAAAAATATTGGACACTCACCGAAATGAATCGCAGAAACGAAATTCGTTGGTGAATGATGGCAATATCATGGGCGACCCAATCGCTGATCCCGGCCTGATCGCAAAGCCGAATGCCCGGCTGCAGCGTCGAGGTGTCAGTCAGTCCTCTTCTTCCCCTGGCAACTGAGCTTGAGAGTCTGGCCTGCCTCGTAACGGTCCCGAACAAGTCATCCAACAAGTCGAGCAGCGCCGTACTCTCTATCTATCTATCTCTTTCTCACGCACGCACTCTATATATATATATATATATATATATATATATATATATATATATATCTCTCTCTCTTTCTCTCTCTCTCTCTCAGTCGCGCACGCACGCACGCACACGCGCGCTCAGTGGTCGACCGTTGGCTCGTACAGGTGCTCACCGTCACCGGTGCTGGCCATTTATCGTCGCGAAAGCGCCTCCCACGACTCGACCTTATCTTCCTGCACGCGAAGATGACGATTGCTCTTTATTGGCCCCGAACGGCGGGACTCTCAATCCAGCGGCGATACTTGGACGGATGGAACAGGGCGTAGGCATTAAGAGATGGGAGGTTTGGGCGAGAGGTGTCGATAGACGCCGATAGGATGGGTCGAGGCAGCGCGTACTGTATTCGTTACATTAGCCATTGGCTGCGCTAGTAATTTTGCATAAACTGTAGCATTCGGCACTTGGCAATGATAACTCCCTGATTGAAAATATCCAGCTTGGCTCATTTCATTTTTAATCGTTAATAAAAGGAGATAGTGGAGTTTATGAAAGACCGCGGTTGAGGTTCATCGAATCAAATCAAAATATTCATCAGCCGCTTCAATTTGAGTAATAGCGGAAGACACTTTTAGTCATTGATGATACACACGAGAAATTAAAAATTTTAAAGATCACTCGACGCTAAAATTATGTGCTCCTTACTCCTCTACTTGTATACCTTGACTTTTATATTCGACAATTCTAGGATGTTTTATATGCATATAATTGTAATTTTGGCAAATAAAGCTTCCTTTTTAACGTCTTCGCAGCTCATTATTATAAAACAAAAACAAAAACAAAAAACAAAAAACAAAAAACAAAAAACAAAAAGAAAACAATTAAAAAATTGAGTAACGCATACGACCATTGCTGTAAAAAATAATGTAAAACTCCATATTCTATAAGTCGTATATCCACGAGTGAATTTTTATATTCGACAACTTGTTAAATGCATATTGCTGTATCCTGTGCATTAAAAATTTATAATTTACTCCTCATCTTTCACTACGTTTAATTATTAGAATTACTAAATGTCCGTAGTATTTTTTATTTAATTATAGACTTATCGGAAAGTACTTGAAGAAACACGTAGATTAATGCGATTAAGATCACAACCACGTCGATCGTTATTATAAAATTGAATTACAATGTAAGTTTTATATCTAATAGATAAATTGGTTAAAAATGTTTAAAATTAGCAATTAGAATAATGTTTTTCAAATTGAAATATGAATATTTGTTACACCACAATATTTGTTTTGAATATGAGTTCTTAATAATTATTTTCTTGGCAAATACATATACCCGAGAGAGGAAATTAAACGCCTTTATCCCTATTCTCCATCAATATGTATAATTAGTTCATTCCGACTTTAAAATTTTACTTCCGTAATATCTAGTTTTAATTAATATCTTATACTATAATTAGTCATTTCAAATGCATTACCGTCAAATAAACCAAATGATTATATTACCATTTATGTATTGATTTTATCAATAAATTATCAAGTTAACTCACACTTAAAATCAATTTAAAAACAAATTGATATGAAATTTTATATATAAGAAGAAAAAATGTACGGCAAATATAAAATAAAATTCAATTAAGAATTATAAAAGTGACATAATTGATTTTGCATTTTTACATCATTATTATTTAACATAATTATGAAAAATCTTTATAATGGTATGACACAGGTTTCTAAAAATTAACTTGTTAACAAAGTAATTTAAACGTACTTACGTCTGTAGGTAATATTCAATAAATACCATATATATAATTATAATTAATATTGCAATGATGAACTTGATGAAAAAATTTATTATATTAATTTTATCTATATAAATATAACTACATATAAGCAATAAAAAAAAGTAATGAAGAAAAAAAAATTTAACATATACTATAATCATAAAGTAGCATTATAAACCTGCAATGTAATATAATTTACGCTAAATTTAGTTATTAACTAATTAAAATACAATTTTTTTTTTCTGTTAAAAAAGTAAAGACGATAATAAAATGATAATAAAATGTAACATTTCTACAATTTGAATTATTTATTATTAATTCTTTTAATTTTATAATGTTTACTATTTTAAATATACACATTCAATTAGATAAGTTTAAACTAATATTTAATATTAAAGAATCAAAGCATACAAAGTTTACATACAGATACCCTTTATAATCAATAGACAAGTAAGTAAGAAGTCGATAACCTTGATATGTTCTTTCGCCTTTAGTATCGAAAGTTACAATAAACTCAAGGAAATATTGAATAACATCGACAATTTAATTTTTTAATGCTTTGAGAAATTAAACTATACATAGAGTTGACACTGAATCTATGACGATTATTGATCTAATCAATAAAATATTTAATAAACGTTATTACAAGTATATATATATACATATATATATATATATATATATATATATATATATATGTATAAACTATATTCTTTACAGATTAATATATTTTTATTAATTCAGAAAATTCAGATATCAAAAATTGACAAATACCAATTACGAATATTAATTTCTAAAATAGTAACAATATTCTGAGTTTTAAAACAAGTTATTATTTATAAATGTTATTGGGTACACAATTTTTCTAAAAAAAAAAAAAAATGGCATTTTATTTTTAATGATATTATTATGTAAATACAAATTGATTTTGAAATCTAAGTTAAATATAAATTACAAAAAGTTAAATATGAACTTTTGATACTATGTATATATACTATATAATATATTTCAGATAACTTAATATATTTTATAATACATTTAAATATATTATAATGATATAATGATTTATTATTTAAGTTATTAACTTTAAGTTATTACTTAATGTCTAATACTGCCTTTAAATAAAATTTTATGTTAAATTAAAATATTGAATATAATATTTCTAACTACATTTGATATTATTCTATATTATTTCAAGATTCTATTTATATATAAGGTAATAAATTACACTGATTTAATAAAATAATTAGATATATTTATATATCATAATAGAGATTAATCATTTATGGAGA